CATTTAAAGATTCTGCTCGACGTTTCATATTTTCTAAGCAAATCGGAAGGTTTTCGAGAACCTAATTCTCTCCAGATAATAATTGGCGAATTTCTTGCTGAGAAGATTCTCCTGAACGATTTATTAACTCAGTTTTAAGCTTTGCATATGGATCAATAGGGTCTGGTTTCATAAGTAAATCCCGTACTATTGAAGCAATATCTGGAGGAAGATGAGCAACTACATAATTATATTTAGTAATGGATTCTGTGATAGGTTTGGGGGTGGCAAGAGCAAAGGTACTTTCACACATAATAAACCATAAAGATGGGTCTGATCGGTTATAAACCGGAATTTGGACGGCATGAACATCAGACATTGTGCAAGGTTTTTAAGCCAAATAAAAGCAAAAATTTAACTAAAGAAAATTAAATTAAATGATAAGTAGAAAACAGAATTATAAATTGATCTATAATTAGTACTCATCTGTGATTCGGAGGATGAAAACCGATGTAATCCATTACTTCTGGTTTGGAGATCTTGAGTGATGGCTTGTAGTCAAAACCGAAAGTGCTTGAGAACTGTTCATACGATTTAACACAGTCCAGGTTACCATTATGGGAATTTCCCGGTTATGTTTTTACCACCAATCCTCGAATTCCATATCACAGATTATGTTCTTACTGCATTAATATAATATTAACAAGACATAGTGCACAATAAAAATTAAGCTTTATTTAGGAACTTCGCGCACACTGCCCGACAGCCTGCCTGTTTCGCTCTGCTCGCTACTCGTAAGAAATTTCTCCTCTAGGGTTGCCACACTTATCGGAGGGCGCAAGGCGCGCTCCTTATCGCCATCACCACAGATCGTCGTTCAAAAGGAAGTAGGAATAATAATGAATTATTTATTTTGATCTGGGTAATTTTGTTTGCTTTGAAAGCAGAAAACGCAAGGTCAGTGTGTGTGGTGAAAACTTTTCCTTTCTTTCTCCAAAGGCAGTGATAATGCGTGAAAAGGGGGAAAAAAACTTTTTTGTTCTTTCCTTATTGCGAGTTATGACTCATACCTCCGGTTCTCGGACATTCTCTTCTGGATTCTTTTCGGCAAGTAGGCGTGGCAGAAAAATAAGGGAGAGACTTCGTTCGACCAGATGTGTGATCACGTGACTCTGGGTTCAAAGGTCTTATCTCTCCTGGCGTGGCGCCAATAAGTAGAGAAGGGGGATTTTTCGCCGTATTAGCTATTTGTCATTGATCGCTTCTCAACTTTTATTTCTCCGCTGTGTAAAATTTTCGTTTCATTTATTGATGCACGTGTAAATTTTTCGTTTCGTTTATTGAAATATTTTTTTTATTTATGTACGCAAGAGAATTTTACTATGAAATTTCTCGATATAAATAGCGATATTATACAATTAGAAGAAGGTGTCCGGAATGCATTTAGGTGGAATTGGATTGAACGGAGAGATGGTAATGGGGATACCATCGGCACATGGTGCAAGAAAATAAATGTTGCTGGACAAGCACTCTCCTGAAGAAATTATCAAAAAATCATCCAATAGCAAAAGAATTCCAAATTTCTCTGATGAAAGCTTATACTAATACAGCACAGCATATGAAACAGAATTTACCCCTTAAAAATTCATATCTAATTAGTTTTACAGCATTAGATCCAGAGCTAAGAGGTAAAACCAGTACAATATTAGCTTTTGAAAAATTATCATCTTTTATGTCCCATATTTTTAGTGATAATGAAAAGTCAAAAGTAGAAGCTGAAATAAGGTTATACCAGAGTGATATCGATATCACCAAAGAAATGCTCTACGCATCTGATGAAAGTGGAAATCAAGTCAAGTGTACAATTGATAAATATTGGTTTAAAATTTTTAATTTAAAAGATGATTTCACAAATGATTATAAGTATCCTACATTGGCTAAATTGGTCAAAGCCTGCCTTAGCTGCTTCCATGGCCCATTAGTGGAAAGTGCATTCAACTTAATGGATACACTTATCACTGACTATAGAACTTCTCTTAAGATTGATTCCCTAGATGCAGTGCAGACTATTAAATATGATTTAATGTCTTCTAAAGAAATCTCATGTGAAAAATATGGCTAAAAAAATCCAATGACTGATCCAATTCACAAAGATCTCTTACTGAATATGAACAGAAGTTGGAAAACATATCAAGAGGACTTAAAAACATGTATTTCAGATGAGTCACCTATAAAAAGTCTCTGAAAAACCTTCTACATTAGCAGAAAAAAGCAAACTGCTTCTACCTCTGCATGTGCAGTTCTCGAGGAAATTTCTTCAACTGTAAATGAGGAAAATAAAAGTCAACCTTCCTGCAATTATGAAGTTCACCACAAAGAAAGACAAGCCCACAAACAGCAGAAAATAAAAAAAAGCAGCAGAAATTAGATAATTTTTTTTAAAGAATTAATTCAGGTAATTTAAAATATTTACATAAAATGTAGTAGTTTATATGTTTGAAAATTTATGGTTATTAATTTTGCAAAAAAAAGTAATTTATTGAACTTTTATAATTAGGTCATTCAATACTTCATAATTGTAATTTTTCATTTCTCTCACCCCCCTTCTCGAAACTCCAAAATGTCGGTAGTAAGTCCGTAAAAGTTTCAGGCGATTTTTGGGGGTCCCACAAACACCCCTGATCATCAGCAAGAACATACTTATGTTTTTCAAATATTGCATTATATTCTTTTTTTGCATGTGCATTGTGAAATTTGGGTATCCTATATTAGCAGCTTCTGCACTTAATTCAAATATGTATTTAATTTTTTTTATATGGAGACCCCGGGGGAAAAAACATTTATTCAATTTTTTTTTTTTTTTTTTTTTTTTTTTGTGAAAATTGAAGTAATAATGCCATCTAATGAGCAATAGGAATAGCTTTTATATTATAAATCGCTTCAGTAAAAAAAGTATTCATGTCCGCTTTTAAAAGAAAAGAATCATTTATGTCCAGTTTTTTTTAATCAGGCTTAACGATGAGCTGTTGGTTTCGTGCATTATTTCTTCGGCAATGCTTGTGAACATGCAAAATAAAAATTCCAGTGCACTCCAATTCAGTTACAGTGTTTCAAACAGGAAGAATCCACAATGTTATGAAAGTTTTATGAGCAACCACATGGTAATTAGGATCTGATTGAAAATGCAGTGTTTTTCTTGGATTTGTGATGGTGAAAAACAACAAATTCTCAAAGTTTTCAATGAACTTTGAAATTTTAATTACCAAAATCATTAACCCGCCTGATTATAACGCTTGTGCTTGTGATGCGCCAACGTTCTCGTTTGGGAAATGAGGGATATTCAATGATTGCCTCTTACTTTTATGGAGCACATTGTTTCTAAAACTATATGTAAGTCTGTATAAACGCCCTCGTTTTATTCCACGGAACTACGAAGAAAGAATAAGAATTTTCTGCAATCTACCATAATTTATGTGTGTTAACTGTGCCATTCAAATGAAAATATGCCTCATTCACTCACAAAATGTACCACCGCCATTTAGTGTCTAATTCACAGCGGGCAAAGTACTGCAGGGAGGTCTAATGTAGCCAAATCGATAAGTACAGCTTGCCGAATAAACGAAAGTTTGTAAAAGTAATAATGTAGGATATTCTGGACAAACTTATGAATTGTGGTATTTGCCTGATCTAATGCTATTGCAGTGTACCTGACACTAGTGCCAGTTAGAGAGTTTAATGCTCTGTCTTCCATTTTTGTTTCTACATCCTTCATTACCTCTGTGACAATGCGTTTTCGTTGTTTTCGAAGCTGACCATATAACGATTTCGTTTCTTCAGATTTCACTGCCATTTTTCATAGTCCATTAGTGTTAAGTGTACCTTTTTAAAACCCTTTTAAAATTCGTAGAACTTCTGCTGTGAAGTTACAGTTATCATAGAAGAATTTCATCAACAAAGCACATTCTTATGAATTGAATACCATAGTGAAGATATGACGAAGACATTTAAATAAGTACCTACTTGGCCCATTTATTTATTTTATGTGGCAGTTAGGCTGAAACTAATTTTTCTCTTATCCTTAAATTTTCTTCATTGCGTCACTCATGTGCTTCTAAAATTCCGTAGCTTTCTGATGTCTGTTTATGGATGTAGAACATTCAGAACTGATAACTTTATAGATACCTTGTATTTTACTTTATTATAGATGCATATATGATTTAAATAATATAATTTTTACGTGACCTGGAATTATCCCATGGTCAATCAAAATAAATCACAAATATCGTAATTCGTCGTGTAAATAAAATAAAACGAAAGTTTAGAGACTAAGAAAGGTCTTTAAAATATTTTTAAAAATTAAAAATATTGTTTACAGAAATTCAGTTAGATTCTTCGGGAGGGGCCAAATTGTTTTTTCGTAAGTTGAGAACTTAATAACTGAGTCACGTATTAAAATTATCTTTATGATTACATTTTTATAAACTCTTGGATGAAGAGCTGTTTTATTTAGGTTTAAAAAAAAACAATTCAATCAAAATCCAATCATAGGTTATTTTGGAAGCTTACTTGCTGGGAAATACCCCATGTAATCTTAGCAGTTTCTTGAAATATTCTTGGCGGTTTAGAATTTTAATAGAATTAAATTATAATAAAATTCTGTATGTGAAAATTACTCTGCATTTGCATAAATGATTTCATTTTGAAAAACTGCAAACTCCCGTTATCCTCATTTTTTTTTTTTTTTTTCACTACCATTTTAAGTGTTAATAGTGTACATTTACTGTTCCTAATAAGAATAAAAATTCTCTAAGAATGACTTCGTGTATGCAAGTTTTAAAATGCAGCACTCTTTTTTTAACATTCATGTTGTATAAAGAACTTTATGTAACACAAATATCAAATTCAGCTTGAAATTATTATTTTTTTCTTCGTAAAACTATATGGATTGAATGGCCAGTAATATTACTAGTTCTTATTATTTAATAATGATGCAGAATTAGAAATATTACTAAGACACATACTTCTTCTTCCTTCTGCTGTAATAGACGGTCTGTTTCAGATACTGCCTCAAAATTAGGCCCAGAATCTCGTCTAAGTTTGCTGGAAAAAATAAAGGTATTAAAAACAATTATCATTAAATAATATATAATTTAAATCTTAAATATATGATCTTAAAAACTTATCTTGTAATTCAAGTTTTGTAAATGCATTTCATGTTGACAGTGAAGTCGTAAAACCAACAAATTTTTTGATTTATTAAACTACGCAATTTTTACCAGGAATTTAACAAATTTACAGAATAAAAATATTCTATCAATTGAAATTTCCAGATAGGCATGCTTTAAAAAGTAAGATCTAAGTAAATTTAATTATTGTTGAAATTTATAAATTTGTTTTCATGTGTTTAGTATATCTTGGTAGTTGTTCTTTTAATTATTTAAATTAACTTATGTTACTGAAAATTTAATGCTTTCTAGTGTTTTTGCAAATTATTTAAATGAAAAAAGATTTTTGAAGTATAAAAACCTCTAAGCCATTTGTTTTAGCAGATGTATTCTTGGATTATATTTAAAAAAAAAAAGGTTTTGTGAATGATGTCTTTTTTAAGGAAATTCACTCACATCTATGATACATGTAGTGATTTGTTTGGAGATTTAATTAAGGCAGAATACACAATCTGCCTAATATCAACAATTTTTGGCTAAGAGCACATCTGGAGATGAAATATATATGTGTGAAGATCGATCGTTATCTTTCCTCCAATTAAAAATTTCTCAAGAGGGCGTCTAGAGCAACAGATTTTAAGTACCTCTGTTCTACAAAGTCGTTACGTTACAAAGTTCTGTCCCATCTCTGAGATTCAAATCTGAGCCAATCAACATGCAGCTATTCACCATAACAACCGTCTAAGCTGATGCATAAAGGGAAGAGCAGAAACATATTTCCATACATTCATTTTTCTTCCCCCTCCCCCTTCCCAAGATCTTGTAGCCTCACAAGAAGTAAACATAATATTTAGATGAAGGATTCATTCACTAGCATGTACTTTCCTTTTCACACATTTTGTATACTAATAGTTATAAATAAATATCAAAGAATAAATTAAAGATAAAACAACTAGGTAAAACTAAATGCATTTTCTAAATTATAAAATATAATAATCTGTTGGAATGTGAATATATTAAAAAAATAAGTGAAAAAAATTCTCACTTTCTTTCCCTTGCTGCTTGTTGAGAAATCTTTGTTATGTATTGTGCTCTGTAACTTTCATAATGTACATCACGTGTTACATCTTTCAGGTCTTGCATATGAGTACTGAAAAGGAAAAAAGCAGATCATGTAAATTTGATATAAATTGTTCCTGATATATAGCATTAAATTAATGGGTCCTTAATGTATTATTCCGTTGGCGGAAATTTCGGCAACGGTGGTTACAGTCGTTGCTGCAGAATTCTAGAGGACACGGTCATCAATAATTGGCTCTAAATCGCGCTACTTGGCTTGTCGATGGGATAATAAGTGCTAAATTATGTCTTCCTCATGATGCATCTCCTATTTGAGTCAAAAGTCATATGCATTATATCAAAATAAAAAAAAATATTAATATTTTAATTAAAACAAGGTCACATGCATTGTTGTAAGAATAGAAAATAATATTTATGTCTTACAAAGAAAAGTTATGTGTGTGTATATTATATAAATAATGTAACAGCAGCAAATAGTAGTTACTTTGCATTGATAGCTAACAGTTCTTTTTTTGCATAAATAAATTCATATTTAATTAATATTATTAATCTAGTAACAACTCAAAAGTTGTTACTAGATTAATAATTTCTAATATAATAATGCTAAAATAATTGCTAACATATTTGAGAATAATAGGTAATGTTAACTGCAAAGAATGGAGAGAGAAGGAAATCAGGTATTAGATATCTTGCTTATAAATTTTTCTGGAAAATTTGCGCTTTTATAAGGTTACCTTAACAATTCAAATCTCAGCATAAAAAATAGTTCCGTTGTTACTCTTTTGTTCGGGTATTCTTATATTGTCTTCCAAAATCAAAATAATAATCTTTCTGTAATGAGAGAACATGCAAAGTATTTCTGTGTTTTTATATATTTAGATGATAATTTCTTGTTAAAAAATTATTAAAGTCGTACAAAATGCTTTGAACTTAATGCAAACAAAATAGAACAGAATTCGCGCATAGCTTGCTATTCACATCACGCGTAAGTATTTATTTACGTCAAGTAAGTATTCACGTCAAGTAAGTTATTTATTCTGTTTTACATAATAAAATAAAAGTGAGCTGTAGTAGCGTACTATTATTGAGTTGACTGAAATTTTTACATGTTCTAGTCTATCTATATATTTATTAGTCTATTATTTTATAAATATAATAAATGGATGAGCATGTTTTTCAAAATGTGTATATTTGTGCAGTTGAACATGACCAAAATATGAGAATAATATAAACTCAGCTAATTCTGTTTAAGCGATTGAATTATTAAAGTATGCAAAAGTAGTCTTGTGGATTGTTGAACTTAAAATTTGCTACTAACTTCAAAGCATGTTATCAGTGCAAAATAGAAATCCAAACTTATTTCACAGTAGATTAACTAATTAACGCCTTAATAACAACTTTATAACAAAATAGAACAGAATTCGCGCATTTTCATTGATTATAAGTAGCGATTTTTTAGTGAACTGGAGAAATGAAAATCATTTTTATTTACGTGAATTCAAGCAGAAAGGACCATAAAAGGATCTTAAATTGTATTATTTTAATCATTTCAAAAGGAATATTTTTTCTGATAAATAAGAATTTGAAATTTGATTTTTTCATTCATTAAAAAAAATGGTACGTATTATCCCAGTTAAGAATTTTGTATGATGGTTTCATTTAATCTAAACCCTAATATAGAAATTTCAAGTTAGAATACAACTTAGAAACATATTACAGTGGAACACCATTTAAACTGTCCGGTAATAAAAATGCCCTAATTTCAAAGCCAAATCAAGAACGATTTAGAAAAATAGTTTTTTTATTTTTGTAACTTTAATTTATTCATTTCTTTGATTCATTCACGTTATGACTAAAAGGAAATTTATGATTCAGTTTCACTTAAAAGGATATTCTTTTAAAAACAAAGTTTCTTCATGATAATTAAAAAATGCAATTAAACTCCGATTATTTTTTTAAAAATATACTTTTTAAAGGCGGGGAAAGCGGTAAATATTTTAATCTCAGTGACGCTTGAGAGATTACAGTGATGGTCTGGAATAAATTTTACATTGTCTCTCCAGTCTCAACACTTCCAGTTCCACCACTTATCCAGTCTGTAGTTTGTGTGAAATGAGATAAATCTCTAAGAGTTCAGATAACTAGCGTTTTGTTGCTATGTATTATACCTAGAATTTTTCTCAGTTCTCTTCAGAGTTTTTATTTACGTTAATAAATAATATATTACATGTATATTACATATACTATTTACATCATTCATAACGTTACCATCGTTTTTTGGAAATAACAAAAAAAATCCTTCTTCTTACTTCTTTTAATCTTGAGTTAAAGGCACTACATAATTCAAATATTTCTGCAGTAATTTTCTTTCTTGAAATAGATTTTAAGTATTCTTTTAAAATCTTTTATTAAAAAATTATTAGTCTTTTTGAAAAATTCATTGAAGCATTGTTTGTCATAGTTTTCTGAAAGGTTCTGATAAAAATATTTGCTGTACATGACTAAACTGGCATGCAAGTTTTTTTATAAACACTACGAGTTTAACCCCCTTTTTACTTCCTGATACGAAGTAAGTAAAGGAAGTATTGTAATCGCGAACATTTACGGGTATCACATTTCAACGAAAATATCCATTTTGACCTCTATCGAATGCAATTTAACGATGTTTTTGCGTGACATCTGTATTTAGGGGCAGAATAAATAACTTTTTCCCAAAACGTGTTGCAAAAAGGATTTAAAATGGATTCAGAAGAGATTATTTCGCGACGTTTGTACGCACGTATGCATGTATCTCGCATAACTCAAAAGCGAGTAGCCTCAAAACGTTGAAATTTTGTATATAGGACTGCTATAATATGTAGTTGTGCACCTTTTTTGGCTGCAATTGACTGCACTTAAAAGTATATATATACCCATTCTATTACTCGGCTCCGTGAGCTCAATTTTTGTTTTATTCTTATATGTTGGTAAATTGCGTAATTTTTGTTTTAAAAATGATTCAGTTATGTTCTTATCTTCCGGTTAAGGTTTTTATGCCTTTAGTTAATCTGCATGCAATAGTTGTTGAATTATCAACAATTTAAAATTTGTTTAAGTGCGGCTAAACATAATTTTTTTTACCATAGCAGCCATATTTATTTACACTTGAAACTTAGTAAAACAGCGAATTAAGTCAGTTTCTGTACCTTCAGTGTCTTTTTGCCGAATAGGACCAAACATTTTGTGCACCGAAAAATCCGCCTCTTGCCCGCTGGCCGAATTGCTTGTTTTTGTGTAGAAACTAATTTTAATTGCAGAAATTTTTTATTGTTTTAACTCTGTTAAGTGTTTTATATTTTTCTATATTTTTTCAATTTTTAATAAAGATTGAGGTTTTATGTATTTTTGCCTTGCCGCGAAGTGAGAGCTGAATTAATTGAATGAGAACTAATCTACAATGAAACTTAAGGAAATAAGCTTAACTGAAATGCCGCAAAAAAATACTTATAATTTAATATTCCGTAAAGTCATGTGGCGTACACAGATTTTTTTTTCAAGAGTACACACAGATTTCATTTGGTTCATTTGATCATTCATTAGGATCTATGGTATTAGAATCTATGGGATAATGGATTAAATGTCTGAATGAAATTTTAAATCTAATTTTCATTACAAAAACTATTTTCAATCGATATGTACGATTTGAATTCTCATTTTTTTAAGAGAATATTTTTGCGAGATGGTTTACCATTTGAGAAAGGTGAAAGCTATTTGATCTTTCATTGATGGCTCATCATTTCATACAGTCATTTTAATAAGAAACATTTTTCATTAAAATAAAATTCTTACCTTATTAAAAATGTTCTTAATTTAAGGAAATCACTGTGCTTTGGATTCTCAACTGTAATTGTAAACATTAGACACAGTTATAAGCCTTAATATGATTAAGAATCGTATTTACTATTATTATACATTCAATCTGAACAAAACACAGTACATTTGATTTAGGTTCTATCCAAAACAGGGTACCTCCTTTGCAACATTCAAGCATTTTCGCCAAGTTATTGCGTCAAAAGTAGGGCCGGCGTTAGCCATTATGCAGTCCCATGCAATCTTTGCCAGTCTTAAATTCTACATCCATTGCTTCCCTAAATTCTAAAAATTTTGCCACCCCTAAATTCTAAAATTTTACCATCCGAAAATTTGATGAAGTGAAATAGGGTTAAAAAGATCTCGAAACTTACGATGATAATGCTTTATTTTCCACAAATATTCTGTGGTTATTTTAAATCAAACATTCGTGTTTAATAATTACCGATTCTTATACCGTTCAAGATCATTTCCTGTCTTTTAGTTTTCCTAGTGTCTAAAATTAATCTGAAATTCAATTAAGCACGCATATGGGAATTTCGAAAAGGAAATGAAGCTAAATATTTATGACAAGAAATAGATGATATTAAACCCGGGAGGATGCGACCTTGCTGTGCAAGTATGCAAACGCAGGTATAAAAAACAAGTCTCATAGTCAACCTAAAGTTAATTTGTAAATTAAACAATGAGAAAAATCGAGAGTGAAATAGTTTTAAATTCAGCGATAAAAGAAAATCCCGGCTGGAGGGCTGGTGTAATGAAGCAAAACCAGCGATAAAAAAGGATACCCGCATTTAGCACTTAATTCACCATTTTTTTTAACTCAAGGGGTACCCTGTTCTGCTCCTTTTTTATTACATTTTAAATATTTAATTTATTAGTATTTTAAATGAGAAAACATGCTTAATTATGAAATATATATTTCATTTTAATTAATGAAATACCAATAATAAATATCTAGCACCAAGCATACTGAAATGACTAGCAGTGATTCATATTCTTCTACACAACATAAACTAGTATTTAAAATAATTTATTTCCTAAATGAAATGTTAAGCTATTAAATTTGTATAAGGGCGTTGCAACTATATTTTATTTCATTATAAATGATGAGATAAATCAATGATTTTATTTTATGCTGAGTTCCATAAAACTGACCACTCTTAACTTGTGTGCTGCATAAATAGCTGCACAGTTTAGTTTTTTGATTTTGCCAACAAGAAAAGCTTGTTGATTTAAATATGAAGGTAAATAAATGTGGTGCCAAAATTAGTCTTTGCCTACAATCTTCTGATTTGAAATTTAAATTAAGAACATCATAATCTTATAATGAAACTTGAAAAACGTTTCATAGTTTATTTAAGCATTGTTAGAAAATAAAATTCCATGTTTCTTTAACAGCCGATAACAACGGCACTTTATTAAAATATTATTGCACTCAAACGCACATGGATATTTTATTTTTAAATTTTGCAACTATCCGGGAATTCTCGTACAGCAATAATATTAAAAAAAAAGTTAAAATAATACAAATGCGCACTTTTAAGACTGTGATGGAAGCTATAACAAAACTCTATGTTTATTATAATACTGGGGACAAAAATTATTCGAAAAACTATATAAGCTCATTTAACTTGAATGATTTTGCAGCTAAGACCATATAACTTGCACAAGATCTTTGCCATGTCCTCAGTATCGTCAGTTTCTGCAAAAAATAAATTAAAATAAAAGCATAAGAAATGTGATAGAAAGTTCGGTAGGGAAGAGTTGTGTTAAAACTAAACTAAAACAACACTGATAAGATTATTAAAGTTTATGGTCGTTCCTCACCGAAGTCCAATTTTTTAGCTATTTTTCATGCTATGTGTAAGATTGTCCAGAAGTTCATACCGTAACAAAATGTATTCACGATTAGCATCCCTGTGTTAAATTCCTGTGTTGCAATTTGGCATCTTAATGAGTTTCACATACGTTTCATTGGAAATCAACCCATATATAATATACGAGTCACTCCATCCCTTGGATTCCTTTGTCTTCAAGATAATCGGTTATTCGTGCAGCGCAATAAAAACGATTATTATCATCCATTAGAGGGAAGTGATATCTGCACTCCTAAATACCTCGATATAAGTATCAAGAACCTCATTTCTATACATTTAAGCAGTTGCAATAGCAAACGTTTATATGCTTAGTAAGGCCATTCAAAATGACACCCGCCCTTTCTTGATTCCGCTACTTTTGTACAGATGACTTTCGTAGATCTTTTCAGCCTTTCTAAATGTTTTAATCCCTCCAGATTGTAATACTATTAGTATAGTATTATGCTCCCAGAATTACTCTCCAAACAAAAACGAGGCACCAGTAAGATCTCTTCAGTAAAGAAAATTCGGCTGCAGTCCGTTACAGTGGTTAGGTTAGGTTATTTAATTACGGCAAAGCCTCGAGGGTTATCTGCCTAAGGGGAGATGCCTTCGTGGAGGACTTTCTAAGAGGAACTGGCTCGTATACACGTTACACATGGGAAAAACCATGAAAACAAACACCCATGCAGCCAGCCCGTTCGCGGGATTCGAACCTCAGACCGAACTACCAGTGTTCAGCGATTTTACCGCACTGCCGTTGGTGGGCTTCCGTTACAATGATCCAATTACAATTACCATCGCAATTAGGCACATTTCGCAGCCTAAGTTTAAAAGAAAACATTTTTTATGTGCGCGTGTGTGCTCGCAGCTCTGTATTATGTAGTCTGTTTCTCGCGGAATATATGAATAGTCGAGCTCCTATAGCTGCAACGAAGTCTCTTGAAATATGGGGCTGACGTCAGGTATCTATATTTTTTAAAAATCGTTGCCAAATAATGATTCTGACAGTCTGCTGCAGCACGTTTCTGACCTTCGCCTTAAACTGTGTCCAGATATTTTACAAGTCGCTTTTGACTACTTTTAAGTTTTCACAGATTTGTGTCAGTCAGTATCTTTGATTTATGTAATTATGGCAAAGCCTCGAGTGTCTATCCTGCTTCCATTCTTCCAGTCACACGTTATTTTTCATATTCCTTCAAAATGTCTTCTGAACGAGATATTCCAACTTTCACAGGCGAAAACTTTATCCAGCTACTCATAATCAACCCTTGATAATAAAATTTGAAGCATATCTTTACATTTGTCCCGAAAGAATGCTCTCTAAAATTTGCATATTTCTGTGTAGTCAAGGCGAATCCCATCAGACTACGAAATAACATTGACCTTGAGCTACCAGCCAACCACCATTCGTTGACTTCCCTCAACAATTAATTTAAAGAACCTTTTATATAATTGCTGATTTAATTATACCACTGTAGTAATTATGTGCTATATATATTTTTATTTTATAGATTAAAATCAAATACAAATAGCTAAATCTTTGTGCGTCTCATTCAAGTATGTGTTATAATGCTGTTTGCATTAGCAAATGAAAATGCTTGGAAGAAGTCCACAAGGTTACACGTGGATAAGACCACTGAATATAGATAGTTTCCATTCTGTAAACTGTTTGCCCACAGAAGTTTCTTGGGTTTTTCTGTGTGTAACATAAATAAGAGTCAGTTTCTCTTTAAAAACATTCCTTATAAAGGCTTCCTTTTCTCTAAGCAAATAGCCCTTGTGCTCTGTATCAATGTAATTTAAATAAATTAAACTCTCCTGACACCAGTACAACCAAATGAACAGGCTGAACAAAGATAATATGTCGTGAGCAGCAGATAAGTTGTGATGAAAATGACCTGGCTTGGGGCAGATAGCAAGTTAGACATTGTTGTTACTATTGGCTGTTACTGGCTCGAGTGGTCATTTATAACTATCATGAGAGAACAAGGACAAATCTAGATGACAACTTCTTGTAAGAGTTCTGTTTACAACTCTTCTAAACGGTGAAAAAGACCAAAAAAGCTGTTGCCTTTAATACCCAGCCATCATAGATGATTTTTAGTTGCACATCACTGGCCTAATTATATCATGATGATATCTTATAACCTGTTATATTTGTCAATCCTGTCATGATTGAGGACAATCTTTTATTAAAATTATCTTCATCCGCACACAATGAACGTCACCAAATGAATGTTTGCATAGTGTCATAACTATCTCTTGTGCTGTCAGATCTTCAGACCCTGCCTTAGTATAAAGTGTGCTACAATGGAGGGAAAGGCCCGGTTACACTCGCGGAACTCGTAGCCCAAGAAATTCGATGTCTTCGCTAAAGGCGGAAAAAGATAATCTTTTTGAGATAAAATTGAGTATTTATGCATTTATTTTGTAAAGTAACTTAAAGCAAGAATTTATTTAAAATTTTAATAATGTAGTATTTCCTCATCAAAGGAAATAAACCCACCAAAAAGCTATCAAGTAAGGTAAACAAGCTCTTACAGCTATCTTGCAGTATGTGTAAAAATATTTAGCAGTTATAAAATTTATAACAAATTCCGCAGAATAACATTTTACGTTTCTATGAGTTCATACTCGACCACTGAGCCGCGATTCGTACTTAGTCACCCTGACTGCGATGGGTACGGGTTCAAATCCCGGTGAACGCATGGTTGTAACTGTCCGTCCCTACATAGCAGGCAACGGTGGCCACCTATTAGGTGCTTCCGTAATGAAATGGCTACAACTTCCGGCCCTTGTAGTAGCGCAAAGCTTAATGGCTATTAAATAAAGCGCCCGGCCATAAAAAATACTAGATCAAATAGTCTCATGTATTGCCGTTAGAGGCTTGGTTTGATTTATTTGGATATGGCAAAGGACTCGAGGGCTATTTGCCTAAGGGGAGGGATGCCTTCGTGGAGGACTTTCTAAGGGAAACTTGCTCGTAGTTTTAATAGTATATGTACTTCTTTATAGGCCTCTATTTGCTCAGTAAATGGAGTGATTGCTACTCACTTTCAATAATTTGTCCTCATGAATAATGATATCAAGTTTTACTGCGATTGAACGTTGAGTTTTATTACGCTGAAATTTTAAGATTCAGAGGTATTATAATGAGCAATTTCGAAACACCGAGAAATTTTTGACACCGTATATGAAAAATATTTTTGAAGCGATATGCTTGTATAAAACACATTTAATACCGATTTTGTTTCTTAATACTATTTTATGGTTTGGTTTGGTTTATTGAATTACGACGAAGCACACTAGGGCTATCTGTCTAAGAGGTGCCTTCGTGGAGGATTTTCTAAGGGAAACTGGCTCGTATACACGTTACACATGGGGAAAACCACGAAAACGCCCATGCAGCCAGCCTGTTTGCGGGATTCAAACCTCGGACTGAACTACCAGTGTTCAGCGATTTTACCGCTCGGCCGCTGGTGGGCCCAATACTATTATATGAATGTATTCTCTTTAGCAATTTTATTATTTTAATATAACACTCGGGCTTTTTGCTTCATATATTCCAAAACATAATATTTTTTAACCCTTAATACCTTCATAGTATATAATATTTATGTAAAGAAATTATATATATTGAAATAAAATTGTATTACCTTCAACAATACCCCAAGGATACAACCTTCCTCTAACTTTCCGGCCATTGATTTCAACTATTTGTGTGCTTCCGATAACAGCAAATGGAACACTATCCTGAAATTAGAAAAGTTTATTTTATGTGACATTTTGTGTAAGGAGTAAACGATATGCGCAGTCATATGTGAATTTTAAGGAATTTGGATTAGAAAAGATGCAATTTTAAAATGATGCCATTTTCAAGAAAAACAGAATACGTGTGCAATAGTTTATAACAGCTTAAATATGAGCAATTTTCAAGTGACGGAGAATATTATGATTAAATATTGCTTATTGATTAAATCCCTAATTTTAAAATTTGATTTTAGCGGGCAATAAAATATTAATTAGTCTGCCGTGATGAAAATTACTTCTGTTATTATAAAGGACTAATTTTTTTAGTGCCATTCGCATGCAAATGGGATTTAGATTAAAAAAATAATTTAACAGCTACTTTGTGATTTCATTTCTTATTATAAGTTTGCAATGTAAATATAAATTTTCAAGATTTTTTTTTTTTTTTTTTTTTTTTTCTTTTTTTTTCTTCCGATTTGAAAAAATATGATTTTAGGTAATTTACGAATACTGAAAATTTTCACTTATAAACATTTGCGTCTTTGTTTATAAGTTAACCACTGCAGATAAAATTAAGTACATTTATTTAATGGCTTTAATAAGTAATTGTAATATAATTTATAATTAGAGCGCATGTAATTTAAAATTCCTAAACGGGAAAGAATGTTTAAACTTATCTTTCCGTCCATAAAAGTTATAGAAAATTATACAAAATAGTTTTACATATCTTTATCAGCTAGGTTTTTTTAAACTATATATAAATTGTTTCTTCTAAAATTTATAGCATTTGAAAAATGGAAAATAAAAACAGTAATTGAAAGAGATACATCTGAATTCATGAAAAGCTTGGTTGCGGATATTTGTTATAATTGCAATTTATTTGTTCTATGGCTGCGAATTTAGTTGAGATTTTACAGTCATTCTTTTTTATAAGCATATTTATGTAGAAATTATATTATTGTTGTCAGGTGATTAACAATTGCACCTTTCATAGATTTTTTACAAGTGTGTAATGTAAAAGAAATGACAAGAATTTTCTTACTTTTAATTCTCTATCTTGTTGCTTAAATTCTTCATCTTCATCGCTATCACATTCTGGAAGTTGGTAGATTTTTATCTGATTTTCATCTACTTCCCGAAGTATCTGAAAACAGCCATATCAATGAGCATGAAATATACATACATTTGATTGATTGTTGTTGTTTGTTACTAGAAATTAACAAAGAGAGGAGGGAAAAATTGTAATTCCTGAAAAATATCTCTATATTTTAATTCTGTCGCAGTAGTAAGTTTATTTCAATAAATATATTATTCCAATGTGTAGTAGAAAAATTAATCCCAGCAACGTGAAATCCTTAAATACGTATTATCACCAACAGTGTCATATTTTTATTCCCGCAATATATTCATACATATTCACAACTAGAAGTAAATGGAAGACAATTTCGTTTGTTAGAAATGAGAATTTAGTTGCTAAGTTATCCAAATAGTGTTACCACATAATTCTTGAAAGAGTTTCATAGAAAACATTTCATTCATTTTTTCATTGAAACAAATACTAAAAAGAGGTAAAAATTGAATGCAGTAAATATAGGGTGCTGAGAGTTTCAATGTTTTAAGAATCTTGCCAATTAACAACCAAGCAATAAAAGATGATTCACGCTAAAGAAACAATCCACTCACTTTATAGCAATTTAGTGAAAGATTTTTCTTTTACTTTGTATTAAATCTTTTGTATCTTTCACATGAACTTCTACAAATTTTTAATTTATTTTGCTTCTTCCTTGCTTTGGAATGAGAAAGCAGCATGTTTTAGATAGATGGGTAAAAAGTGTTTTAAAAATTTTTCTTAAAAAAACAACAGTAATAAAGTTATAAAATAGATGCACAGTACAGAACACAAATGAGAAAAATTCATCGTACATTTGTGATTGCTCTTGGATTGATGACTCATTTCATTTACATTTATCTGAAAAAGTATGTTATCTGCATTCAGAACAACAGATCATAGTTATATTCATTTTGTATCCATCTTGGTTATCTTCAGTAAAAAAGAAAAAAAATCTTAAAATTGTTAACAAAGTTTTATCATAATTGCGAGTGTTTAATGTAAAGCGCACAAAAACTAGCAGCCTAAATGTGAAATACTTTCTTAGAATTTAGTTCATATTCACATTACGACAGGAAGTAAACCTCTGCAGTCACCAAGATTAGAACCCAAAACGTATAATACGATAGTTCGCGGCTCGGTCATACTTTCGTCGATGAATCCGTTGGTTGGACTTACTAAGCTTACATCTTAAAAATGATCAAAGTACAATGTTCTGTGATTTTGAATAAGTCATATGCAATCAAGGATTTGACAAGTGATATTCAGAAGATTTATTATGAAAGAGGAATTGAAAGGAAAATCCTCTATGTAAGCCCTGCATGGTACAGAAATCGTGTTAGAATCAACAATATGTTGATTCAAACTCAAAGACCTTCAATGTTAGGCTTTAAGTGGGTGTGAGCCTATATATCTAATAGCTCAGAAAGATTGTATTATCTTTGATTTAAAACATAGTCGAAGTTCTGACCTTAATTTTGATCTTTCAGTTAACATTTCAAATATTGAAATGTATAAATTACAAAATGTCTTACATCCTGCCTTATATTCTGATTTAATTTGAGACAAACAACTCCTAAAAGGTATTGGTTATGAAATCTTTTCTGATGGTTTAAAGATTGAAGAAAAAGTAGGATGTTCTTTCATTGCTTTCTCAGATGGTGAAATAACTGCCATAGAAAACTACAGGTTAAGCGACAACGTCTCAGTTTTTCAATCTGAGGTTAATGCTATTCTAAAAGCTTTAGAATGGGTCTCAGTAAAAAAGAGCCCAATGAAGATGTTGATTTATTTTCGGATAGCCAGAGTGCTATTCAAGCCATTTTGTCGGCAAAAAGTTATACAAAATTAGTATTTGATGTTCATAGTATATTATTGAATCTTTTAAAGAAAAGAAAGATAACATTTCACTGGATTAAGGGACATGTTGTACATAAAGGAAATGAATTGGTAGACTCGCATGCCAAACAGGCAACTAAGAAAAATAAGACAGAAGAAGTCATTCCTACTTCGTTTGAAACTTATAAAATTCATTGAAAAAGAATACATTGCAGGTGTGGCAAAATTACTGGGACAGTGATTCAAAAGGAAGGTTTACGTATAGATTTATTAAGGAAGTAGATACTAAAAGATGTATGGGGAAATGGTTTTATGAATCAATTCCTTACGAATCACGCTCATGTACCAGCATATTATAATAGTTTTTCTATTGTCACTGAAATGTAAATGTGGTGAACATGAAGCAGATGTTGAACATGTATTATTCTGCGACATGTACAAAAATAAATGGTTCAAATATTTACCAAAATTTTGCTTCCTATCTGACATATTCAGAATCTTTAAAGACGAAAAGTCCAAAAAAGGAATTTTTGATGTTATGAAGATTATAACAAACGCAGAAGAAGAAATGTATATATAGTCTCTGTAGAAAATTATAATTAATAGTGAATGTTATATGCATATGTGTTCAAATAAGCTGTCATGTTTTTTTACTAAATTATTGTATGTTATATTGTTATTGATGTATAATAAAAAAATGATGATTGACTTAAAGGTATAATAGTTGTAATTATAAAAATTGCTTAAAAATAATATGTTAATTTTGATTAATTTCTTTGTTGTAATCCAAAATAGGCATAAATTTTAAATAAATTACGTTCGTATTTTGAATATATCCTAATCAAGATGATTTGTATTCAAGAAGACTATTGTAAATTTTGATTTTGTTAAATAAAGATATTTGTTGGCGAGGCCAGCGAATCTTCCATTCGGGGACGAGTACGGTATGGTGGTTTTAAATGATTAAATGGTTCCAATAGTCCCTGCATTTGCCGTAAGGTTGCAGGTTAGAAGATCAGTCTTACTAAAGCACATGCGGTGAAAAAGCTATAATGAGCCAAGCATATGGTAAACTCCTCAAAATGGCATCAATAAATGGTTTGGTTAATTTAATTACAGCAAAGCACACTAGGACTATTTGCCTAAGGGGAAGGATGCCTTCGTGGAGGACTTTATAAGGGAAACTGGCTTGTATACCCGTTACACATGGAGAAAACCACGAAAACACCCATGCAGCCAGCCCGTTCGCGGGATTCGAACCTCGGACCGAACTACCAGTGTTCAGCGACTTGGCCGCTCGTGGGCGCATTAATAAATGAATCTCGTGTATATGAAATTATAGATAAGATGCTTTTTAGTGGATCTACTTAAAAAGTGGCAACTTATTAGAAAAAATTAACCAAAAGTAGAAACAACTTTTTTAAAGATGGATAAGCTTGTTGTGTATGATAAGCACATGAGGGCTATCTTTCTAATGAGAAGAATGCTTAGCGAAGGAATTTGTGAGGGAAATTGTCTTGAATTCACGTTACGCACGGGAAAAACCACGAAATCCAATCATGCAGTCGGCCCGTTCACATGGAATTAAACCCGGATCGAACTGGGAGCATTCAGCGGTCTTAATTTTTAACATGCATAGCATCTTTTCCTTTGCTGTTTTCATTCGTTCTGTTTGAATAATTTAAAAATTTCAGTCCTGCAAATAAAAAAGATTAGATCATTTATACGTAAAATTGTGTGAAATTTACTTTGTCTTTAAGTTTTCTGACTTCTGCTGGGGTAAGTGTATCTGCCTTAGCAATGACTGGTACAACATTTACTTTTTGATGTAGTCTCTTCATGAATTCCACATCCAATTGTCTAAGCCTATAAAAAGAAAAAAGTATAAAAAGTATACAGAAAAGTATACAAAATCTAGAAATTAATTGCTGCATTGTCGTACATTTTTACAAAGTTATACTATAATTTTTGACTTATTTAAGGGTTAATTTCGATAACGCAGTTAATTTCGGATTAATTGGGCGCAGATTAACAGAGTTTCGTTTTAAAAAAATTTAAGTTTGTTTATTGTGGAAGAATGGAAAACTTACTGTCACACACTCGAACAGAAAAAAGGCAAATTTTTACGGGGAATACAAAAAGATAAGAAAAAGAAGGGGATTGGGGATTATTCAATTATGGCAATGTACACAAGGGCTATCTGCCTAAAGGGAGGGGTGCCTTCGTGGAGGAATTTCTAAGGGAAACTGGCTCGTATACACGTTACACACGGGGAAAACCACGAAAACGCCCATGCAGCCAGCCCGTTCGCGGGATTCGAACCTCGGACCGAACTACCAGTGTTCAGCGTCTTTACCGCTCGGCCGCTGGTGGGCTAAGAAAAAGAAGGAGATAACTATAATGATAACAGATAATATCGTATTTCAGTAGTGCAGTACAACAGTACGTAATTTAACTGCATATAATCTGGAATTTATAAACATTTTTAAATCATCCGTTAACAATAAATTGCTAAATCCCCAAAATAAATTTAGTATACAACCATTAATCGTCTGTTTACCATGGATTTCTATCAAATACAAAGAGTAATATAAACGATATTTTGAAGTTTGTTATTCTTGTTTTGATCCTCGTTTAATTTTCTTTATCAAATGAATTTGTTCTCGAAATCAAATTACTTAACCCTCTGACTACTAACAGGACATATATGTCCCACTAAAAGTTAAAAAATTATTACTGGGTTAAAAAGTGTATAGAAACACACTGTTGCTTATCCCAGTCGTAGAATCAAACCAGTTGTGCGTGTTTTAATCTTTTGTTATCCGGTTGGCACTACATATTTTCCCGCCAAATGCCATTGATTTTTTTAATCCCAGTCAAAGGGTTAAAAACTGAGGTAAATTGTTAGTATTTTTCTGTTAATTATAATACGAATTATTGTTTTTAACCTGCTGTTAACCTTGGGCGTCGTACTCGTAAACCTGGTCAGTCGGTCATCTGATCAGTCTATTGTAAGTAATATCCTCCCCCCCCCATGTATTTAAATAATGTACTCCTTTATTTTTTAGGCTCACCAACGGCTGAGCGGTGAAGTCACTGAATACTGGTAGTTCGGTCCAGTCTCGAATTGGCGTTTTTGTTGTTTTTTTCCCTCACATACAACGTGATATGAATCAGTTTTGCTTATTTGCTTAGTCTTTCACGAAGACATCCCTTCCTTTAGTCAAATATCTCTGGCATGCTTATCCATAATCAAACCAAGCGTTTATTTTTATTTACTTTCTTGATTTTCTTTCGAATACATTCCAAAACAAAAAGGAAAAAAAAATTCAAATAATAATTACAGAACTTCAAATAGCATTAAAGGTTTTTCCTACATATTAGTTTATTGGATATTTCAAAATCAACAAGAATCGGTGTAATATTCATAAATTTTCAGAACTGTCTTTTGACAGTTTAAATATATCATCATAAAAATCGTTTGCGTTCCTGCAGCTGAGAAATTTTCTGTATTTAAACCCTCAAGCAAGACTAGTTTAGTCTTGCAAATTTATGAATATTATGTTGATTCTTGTTGCGTAAGCACTTCTAATATCTGTTCATTGTTTAGCTCAGATATACTTTCATTGTCAAGTAACAGAAGGGAAAATATAAAATAAGGAATTATGTCTTAGAATGTTTATTCTTCGTTATCTTTCTTAGCTAAAAATTTACCAAGCTTACTTATCTATAAGAGGAATCAACAAGTACATTTCAGCATTAAAAAGGATAATTTCGTACTTTTGCTATTGCGTATTTAACTTATATCACTTGTCTGACTGTAACATCAGCTCAGTTCTTGAATTATATCTTAGGCGTGAAGCAAGGATTGCACCAATCGTTGACTTTGACATTTTATAGGTGATAGCATGAAACTGCCCAGCTTCACTTCAGCTTTAAAAGAGGATCCCCAGAGCAAACCCGAGGGTCTCCAACCACTCTTCCCTTTCTATCAATCTCTGGAGACGACGTTTTGACTGATTATGTCTTAAGAAACCCTATGCCACAAACTCGCTATGCACTTTGATACTTTTGTGTCGTACTGATCTACAGCAGGAGATTTCTTATCCTGCCCTTACTAGTTCCTTAATCAGTCGTAAATAGGCCTGGCGGAGGTGAAACACATCAGCAAAATTTTCTCCAGGGGAGGCAGGAGTAGCTGAGTAAAGAGTGGTGAAGCACCTTTACTTCTCTTAGAGAAGATGCCTGACTGGAGTACCTGGGAAGGTGAGGTCCAGAAAGCATTCTGCTAGTCACGTAAGGAGAAGTGACGAATCCAGATCATTTGATCACAAAATTACAGACTATGAGAAGTACTGAATGAATGCTATGCACTTGCATGCATCCATGCCTTTTCTAGGATTCGAGCCTGGCCCAAGGCAATGGAGTCGTATTCCTGTCACCATGCCAACAGACCAGCTGTACTTTTAAGTTAACAGCGCACCAGTTGGCGCTATACGTAAATGTTAATATGAAATGTAATTGAAGATAGGAATTTCAATCTTAACAATATACAGCTTCGTGATGAAAAGAATAGCTATTTCATTAAATCCTAAATAATTAAATAAAGGGGAAGTATCGAAATTCATAAATAAGAACACATGCAATTGTTCCAGTCGAGAGTTATACTTTCGAATCAGTATGATCTTTGTAAACCTTTCTTCTCGCAGCGCGATCTTTCATCGCAGCACCATTTCGATGTTTCGGTTGTAGAAAAACGGAATTTTGTAGTTTTCCTACAAAATCTTTCTACGTGAATGGTACTTCTGTCTCAGAGTTTAGTTGCAAATATTCACCATGCGGTAACTGCCAAACTGTGAAATCCACGTAGATTCTTAAAGAAAGAAAAAGAAAACAAAACAAAATTAGCTGAAAATATTTTGAGGAAAATTACTGGACCGATGATCTTTCTTCCCAATGATGTCATTTCGTTGATACTCCTGATGTAAAATAAACAGATTGGCCCTTCGGGCACATTATTCCGACTTGCGCTAATCAAGAAGATATCAGATTACATCAGAGCTCGCCAGAGCTATCTGCTTAAGGGGAGGGATGCCTTTGTTGATGTCCTTTTAAGAGAAACTGGCCCTTATCCACATTACAACTGAGGAAAATTACGAAAACATCCATGTCGTCAGGACTTGATTCGAGATCGAACTACCAACATTTAGCGATCACGTTTGCTCGGCCACCAGTAGACTCTGCTAATCGAAAAACTCGGGTAGTAAATCTCAACCAGTTCAATTGTGAACAATTGAATGTGCTACTTTAATGTAATCGCACGGCATCAATTTTAAATGTTTTAGCAGTTCGGCATGTAACTAAACAATTAATCTTACATACATTACATTACATACATTATTTGGAAGTGCATCTTTGAGATAATTTATAAATATAAATAATAATAATGCTTACAAGTTTCAAACAAGAATTTGCAGCTTTATTTTCAATTACTTTCAAATATTCATGTGTATCCCTAACATATCATTCTATCATGAATTCCCTGGCATGAAGTAAGTCAAATTACATTTATATGAATACAACGTGTTAAATTATAGGGTATTAATGAATTTCGAGTTTACTCGGTAATTACGTATTATCACAACCAACCTTGCTGAATTCATCAAATTTTGAGAATGCGCCAAACAGTAGCAGCCATGCGCATAAAAAATCTTCAGTTTTAATAAGCAATGTCGCCATTTTGTACGCGTTCCTTTTGTTGTATTCAAAGTTCCGATGGTGTTTATCGATAAACTGAATTTTCTGTGGGGGGAGGGGTGTAACTCAATTTTAAATTTTGCGCTTATGTGATCTGCCCACAATAGAAGAATCTCCCACCTCTCTCCACTCCCACCAATCCACATGAGAGAACTTTTGGCTCGCCGCATATTTATAACGCCGCCATGCCGTACCAACACTATGCATTTACAAACACCCATGTCTTTTCCGGGATTCGAACCCGGGCCCTTCGGTACCGTAGTCAATATGTACCATGCAAGTCTGAATGGGTAGCGATAACCTAAGTACCTAATTATGTCATTCTAGATAAGGGCGGGTGTGGTGCTCATACCAATTAACCGTAACGGTAGAGGGATGGTGCCCATGTCCTCCGTCACTCACTCGGTACCGTAGTAGGCTGTCCTAACCACTATACCGTCTGGAAAACAATTGCTTTTAATCTAAGCTTAAAGCGATCGTCACAAAACTTCCAAAAACGAAAAAGAAAAAGAAAACCGGCTTTGTAAATTTTTGGTACAAATACTTAACTAAAGCATAAACATATGCATATAATAAGTAATTTTTAGTAATAAGTCATTTTTTGCAGTTATAAATCATCATTCTATTTATCCTTCAAAAAATCGTCAAACTGTGCCAAGGTGGACGTTAGCACCTAAGTACCGTTTTCTCAATGTGCATATGACTGATAATTTGAAAAGAAAATATTTTTTCATGTTACACAAAAATTGATAAAAATACTGTGGGTAAAAAAAGTATTTGCACACCTACATTTTTGTTTGCAATTCATAAAACGAAGCATTACGAAATAAAAAAAAATTGGTATTGCCAAATCAAAATAAGTTTAATCATCCAAAACAAACAGAAAAATTACAATAATGTAAATAACAATGCTTTTTTGTAACAAAATTTAAATATTTCGTATCAAAAAAATATTTGCACACCTGCATGAATACAAAGAATAAAAAACAAAAGAAATAAAATACATAAGCAAATTTCAAAATAAAATATTTAGTATGCATTCCTTTAGCATCTATTACTGCTTGTAATCTTGCTGGCATTGATTTAATTAAATTTTCTGTAACAGTAGGGTCAGTATTCGACCACTCTTCAATAAGGGCTTGTTTAAGGGCAGATTTGCTTGAAATCTTCCTTTTTCTTATTTTTAAATCCAAAGAATTCCACAAATTTTCCAAAGGATTTAAGTCTGGTGATTTGGTGAGTGGCAAGTTTTCTGGGTACATTATAAAGCAACCACATACGTGTTATACCGGCAGTGTGCTTGGGATCATTGTCTTGCTGAAAATAGTACGAATTACTGATACCCAATTTTATTGCACTTTGTGGCAAATTATCTCGCAACACATCAATATAGGTTCGAGCTGTCATATTCCCATCAATAAAACACAAATTACCAACTCCTTTGCTAGCCATGCACCCCCAAATCATAACAGAACCTCCTCCATGTTTAACTGTAGGTAACACATTTTTGGTATGAAAAGCAGTACAAGGTTTTCTCCAAACTAATTTCCTGCCATCTGATTTAAAGATATTGAACTTACTCTCGTCGGAGAATATGACATTTTTCCAGAAATCAATTGGCTTATTGATATATTCCTTAGCGAATTCAAGTCTCTTCAGTCTATTTCGTTCAGTTATGAGAGGTTTTTTTTTCCTTGGTGATCTCCCATAAATGTGTGCTTCGTGCAGGACATTTCGAACACTTTGGGCACAGGTTTGAACTCCAGATGTTGAAGCGACATCATTGGCTAAAGTAATTGCACTAACAAATGGACTTTTTTGATGCTTTTCTCATGATTTTTCGCTTCATTCGCAGTGAAAGTTTCTTTGGGCATCCAGAGCGCAAGTTATTTGATGTAATCCTCTTTCACGTTTTATAACATACCGAACAGTACAGAAGCAAACATTTACTTTTTTTACCTATTTTGATAACTCGATAACTTAGGCCATTTTCACGTAGAGAAAAATTTTTTTTTCTCGCAACGAAATCGGCAATTCAGATTTCTTAGGTGCCATTACAATTTGAATCGACAATCAACTGATAACGTTTCGACAACACCTTTTATAGTCGTCTTACGTATGTTATTTACTGCGGGATGACTGTCAAATAATAGCATAAAAATGCAAATTTGCTAAAGTTGAGTTGAGTGTGCAAATACTTTTTTGACATAAGCTATTTTAATATTGTTGCAAAAAATGTTTTTTATTAATATTATTGTATTTTTTGTAATTAATTTAAATGAATAAGCTTATTCTATTTCTTAAATGCCAATTTTTGTATTTCTTAATGCATTTTCTTATAAATTGTGAACAAAAATGTATGTGTGCAAATACTTTTTGTACCCACTGTAAATACTAAAATTTATATTACTAGACGAATAAAATGCTGTAAACAAATTAATGCGCTTTTTAATCATTTTATTTCACTCAATTAAAAAAATGAATATAAACAATAATTTTAACTTTATATTTAAAACAGCTAGCTATAGAAAATAAAATTTATGTTATAATTAATTATGAATTTTAATTTAGATGAATCTTTAGTATTTTTAATTTATCTGAATGCTTAAGTTTTTTGTAGAGGACCGTTTCAGTTCAATTTTTACTGGGCTTTTATTCAACGTAAATGTTTGATACATTGCCATATTTTAGATACAATCCAATTAAATCATCGATAATTAGTCGAGTACGGTCGTTTTTAATCAAAACTTTTAATCCCACAAAAGACTCACATTTAAAAGAATACATAAACCATTCAGATATGAAAAACTGATTACGGCATCAAAGTTAGAAACAGTCTGAAAATCTTTGATGCCTCGAGATATATTGTGATTTTTGAAGATCTAAAGGAACTTTTATCCGTGAGAAATTTGTTTTATCCAAATTATACAAACTTTGCGTTTAAAAACTCATTTATTACTTACCCATGCCCGTAAGGTGGAACGAAGTATAGGCAACAGTGCACTCTATTGTCAACTATATTCTTCCGGTTCAGACCACTTTCGTCTTTGAAAAACTGATTGAACTGGTCATCAATGTACCTTTCAATTGTCTTCCAGCTGTGCGGCGAAAAAATTTGTAAGACATTTCTGTTCGAACCGTTGCTTAAATTTACTATGCATACATAAAAATTAAAGACCATATTGTTTAGAAACTAATATGAATAGCTGTCTACTTTTGCTTCGGTTTATATAAAACTTATTAAACAGCAACCTTATTTAAACACTGTATAAAATGTACAGAGAACTAATATTCACTATTTCTACTTAATATGTAGCTAATCATTTTCAAATTGTTAAACATGCTGAGAATGAGAATACTTTTCTTCGCAGTTAATCGCATCGCCAAATCCTGGTGTGTCAACAACTGTCAATCTTAGTTTAACGCCTTTTTCTTCGATGTCCATCGTGGTCTTTTCTATCTCCACAGTTCGGTCAACACGCTCTGGAAAATAAAAAAAGATCCTGACATCAGTAATGTATTACATACAGCTTATATGGGACTTTGATAAAGATAAACTATGATAATAATTCTCTTTATTAATGACTGCAAAGTAATTTCTAAGAGATGACACTGCTGATGAAAAAAATTAATGCTTAAAATCTTTGCAAAACAAAATTTAGTTTTAATGATTTATAGAACATCATGTTATGGCAAATATTATTCAATAATAACTTATCAGTTAGTACGCTTGCATTTTTATCATCCTTTCTGGGACTATCAACATTTAGATGGGGGAGGGAGGATGGAATAAATTTCCTTCAAATAAAAAAAAAACAAAAAAAAAACACGCTATTAGAATGTCGAAAAAGTGATTTTTATTTGAACGCCAGAATAAATCTGAATATTTTACACTATTCATTTTATAAGAAAAACCTTATTAAATTAATTTCAGAATATAATAATTGTATTCCAACTCCTTAAATCCCTTCATTTATGCATAAGTAGATAAATTATTATCAAACTGAATTTTGCGAAATGATTAAAAAATATACTATGCAATGCTACATCGTTCAGTTGTGTTCCCCGGAACTGTGAATTTCGATTTTTACTCTTAAAGTAATGCACTTTAAATTTCACGTCCGGTTTATGTGCTATTAATACCAAATGCGAAATATTTGCCTATTTTTGTGAATTACTGACATATAGCTTGGTGAGCAAATATCAGGTTCACAATAATATGGAGTGTTGAGAGGAGAATTTTGTATTCACAGAGCAGATGCAAGTCAATTTGGTCTGCCATTTTTCCTACTTCTCAGACTTCTAGAAAACACTTTATAGAGAATCAAACAAGACATGAAGAACAAACAGTAAACTATGAACGTTGAACTGATACAGCATTCATTTGCAAAGGCTACAAAGTATTGTTCTACCTCGTCATTTTGATTTTAAAGCTTTGAAACAGTAGGACTGGATTATTTTGCTTACTCAAAGCGAAAGCCTAAGTCGAAAAATGCCTTCCTGTAATATTCTGCTATAATATATTATGGTAAAACACGCTAGGATTCTCTCTTAATGGGAGAGAGGCATCTGTGGAGAACGTTCAAAGGAGAATTTAACTCATTGGAAAAACTACGAAAATACCCATGAAGCCGGCATTTCAGCCCGAATTGTTCAGCGTCTTATTTACTCGGCTACTGATAGGCCTTTTGAAAGAATTTGGAAAAAGATTGAAATTGACGGTGAAAGATATAAAATATATGAAAGCCTTGCAGATATTTAGATTGCTAACGCTTGGTTCAAGAAACCCCTTCACTCCGTACTAGCTGCTGCGGACGAATACAAGGAAAAGTTCTTGTAAATCGTCAGAATAGGGAATTTTTACAGCATTTTTGAATATCTGCATAAGAAGATCGGACCGGCTAGTGGATTGAAATGTATCATGTTTATTAAATCGTTTATTTGCTATTTCTGCCTGGAAAAATTCTGTCAGCAGTGGCAATATATCAGCAAATATAAGAAAGAGTTATTCTGATAAGACATTTAAATGATAAATAATTAATTCCGAATTAAACCTTAAAAAAATGCATATTCCATTTTTATTTTCTATTCTTGACAAAATGATAAAACTTTTCAACATTATGAAAGTTATTTTTTGGACATTTAATGCTTTTAGTATATCACACAAATGTGTTTTCACTCTATGTATGCTTTTCACAGTATTCAGTCTGTAATTTACCATACATTTCAATAAAAATCCAAAATAATCAATGAAGACGAATTAATTTTGAATCCAAAATTAACGAACTGGTAACGAAACCAGATTTAAATAATAAAAATCAAATATGCATATTACCAGCGAACTCTTAACTACATGCCTCTTTTGAAAATGTAGGTAGAATTTTCGGAAAGCATAGTTTTAGAATTATTTCAATGCATTTCACTTTGCATTCTTGTTTTAATGATTATATAGTCGTTTAAACTGCTTCAGTGTTTAAATTGAAAAAACAAAACGAAGATTTTTATCTAAAAATAGTGAAAATTCAGTGCATTGTTCCCCTGCAATGTTCAATAGATGTGCAATGTTCAATAGATTACTTGAGGTATTTCTCTATTTTTATAGATATTTGAGATCTTAAAACTTTGTCACAGATTACCCATTCTTTAAAAATACAACAGATGTAAGCATACTGTTATTATTGCATAAAGATTTTACTTGAGATAATGCGTTTTAAATAATATGAATTTCGATCTTTTCTCACTTACCTTCGACGCTAAGAATTTTCCTATCCTTGTACAAATCTGTGAGAAACAAACTGTTTATCAATGTTGATTTCCCTAATCCCGTATCACCTAAAAAGCAAAGGAAAAAAGATATATGGAAAAGAAATTCTTTTTTTACATATTAATGTATGTATGTTCTCCCCACAATATATATACCTCAACGCGCATAAATCGGACCAATATAAATCTTGAGGTTTTATAGGTGTATAATAGTACAGCTTTGGCTGTAAATATAAGAAAGACATCTTCATAGGTTTTGATGTAGTTTCAAAATAGCAAGATCCAAATATAATAATTCGGTTCCTTTTGAAGGTTTTATGATTTGCTAAAGAAAATAAGCGAAAAGCTTAATTTATGCGACTTTTGTTAAACTCATAGCTCTATTTCAAGGAAAGTTTCATTCGTTGAAACTCTTACATAATCTTGAAAATTAAGAGAATTTTGGGCGAAATATAATAAAACGTAGAGAATTCAGTATTCATTAGCACTTTGAAAACTTTGTTTCTATATAAACAAGGAAATTCTGCCAAAAACTTAAACGAATGCGCTGTTTTATGTAAAAAAAAAAATTCAGAAATTTTAAGGAAACAAATTCGAACGTGAACTGGGCGAAAAAAGTTAATACTTTGAAATATGAGGATCGCTATTTGATTTGAAGCTAGACAAAAAAATTTTTTACTGGCTACATATATCGTTATCAGACGAAGTAAGAATTAGATATACAGTAAACAGCATGAAAAGTTACAAACCCGAAAAGAAATGATGGCGCTTAAGGAAAGCAGGTAAGGCTAAAGTGGGTTCAGAGCGTTTAAAAACTTCCTGAATGTTATGGCATGTTAGTTCCCTTGAAAATTTTGTTTTCGATAATGGATTCAAAGAAAAGCAGGTTTTTATTTGCTATAGCAGGTTATATAACTGATCATTTTACTTAATAGGTTTGGTCTGGTTTATTTGGTTACGGAAAGCACACGAGGATTATCTGCTTAAGCAGAGGTATGCCATCGTGGAAGACGTTCTAAGAGAAACTACCACTATTCAGCTACTTCCCCGGAACTGTGATTACTGACATATAGCTTGAACTGACATACAGCTCTAATCAAGGGCCTTGAAAATAAAAATCATAAGCAGTTATGGAACACATTTTGTAGATTAACAATTTTCATCTAGTTTTGCATAACCAAATATGATACAAGTGCAGTAAAAAATGTAATGCGACATTTATATGTTGCGAATTAAAGAGCACAATATTTTCAGCGAAATAAATCTGAGAAGTCTAGCATGTTCTTTCTAAATTCAAATTTACAACGTATTTGATAATTAAATATGTTTAAAACGTGTGAAAAAAAATGAGTGTTAAGTTAGAATATAGCGCCACCTATTGGATAAGTAGAGAAACTCTCACTTGGCCATCTGGATTAGGCTAAGCAACATGCCAGAGCATGTATTAGATCTGAATAGTTAATTACTGTAAATAAATTAGTTTTGAGCTTTCTTGGCTGTTATTTTTGCAGATAGAAATCTTGCGCAACGTTTAGATACCGAATCCAAACACAGCTCCTTGTTTTTTTAATATTTGTCTGAAGAGATTAATTTATTACTAGAATATTTCAGTATATTGAAATAATTTTTTCACCTTAATATTATAAGCAATTATCTTTCCCGAGAATACAACATTTATTTTAATTTTATGTAACAGACAAACGCATAAATAACAATAAAAAGGTGTTAAGTTAGAATATAGCGCCACCTATTGGATAGGGAGAGAAACTCTCACTTGGCCATCTGGATTCGGCTAAGCAACATGCCAGAGCATGTATTAGATCTGAATAGTTAATTACTGTAAATAAATTAGTTAGTTCTTTTGCTATACAGTCCACATATTAGTTTAGAATCAAAGTACATGGTCAGCAGAGCCGGAGAAATGAACAAAATGCTGGCATTAGATAGAAACAAAACTTCGTTAAAAGCGAAACTAACTAGGTTAGAAAATGTAGTGAACGAATATGATGATAGTTCGAATAAGAATGAAATTCAAATAAAGTATAGATCGCTACAAAGCATTCAAATGGATATTAGAAACTTGAGGATTAGATATTTCGAAAGCGTTGATGAAAAAGATGTCATAGCCATCGATGAAGAAATCGCCGAAATGGAAGAAAGAACGGAAGTTCTAGAGGTAAGAATTATGGAAATTCTATCATCTATACACATTCTGAAAATGAAAATGATTGTAGTAAATTTGATCCTAAAGTACAAATACGTTTGCCAGAATTACCAATTCCTAAGTTTTCTGGTAAATATAACGAATGGAATAATTTTAAGCTTCAATTCGAAAACATCATAGCGAATAACACGCAATTAACAGAAGTTCAGAAACTCTACTATTTAAAGGCTGCATTAACTGATGAAGCAAAAAATCTTGAAACTGTTGATGATACTTTTAGTTCTCTATTTAAAGCTCTTCAAGATAGGTATGAAAATAAAAGAATATTAATTGAGACGCATATAAAGTCAATAATGGATTTACGTACTTTAACATTTGAATCGTCTAAAGGAATAAGATATGTAATAGATAATGTTACTAAAAACGTTAGGGCTTTGAATGTTTTAAAATATGAGAAAAATAATTTATCGGATATTCTGTTATTAAATATCGTACTTCAGAAACTAGATTTCGAAACGCGCAAACAATTTGAACTAAGCATTAATGCTACGGAAGTTCCTACGTTTGATGAATTAATTTCTTTTATAGAGAAAAGATGTCAGTTATTGGATAACATTAACCGTAGTATTAATAAAATGAAATATCCGTTAGAAAAAAAGTTCGAAATCAAAGGCTCTGATGGTTAAAACCGATAGTGTTTCGATTTGTGTTATATGCAAAAATAATAATCATCCACTGCATAAATGTGATTCATTTTTGAAATTAAATCCAAATCAAAGATATGAAATAGTTAAAACCCATAAATTGTGTCTAAACTGTCTCAGTAACGAGCATTTAATCGCAAAATGCAATTCTAAGTTCAGATGTTCGGAATGCCATAAAAAACACCATTCATTAATACATCGCCTGCTCAGAAATGGCGCCATTCAACATAAGTTAGACAAAACAAAAACGGAAGCAGCGAGTGACGAAATTATAAACAAGAACGCAGATGTCTCTAATAAAAATCAATCAAGTTGTCTTTTGACACGCAGAAAAAACGTCTTATTGGCGACTGCAATAATATATATTTGCAATTCCGAAGGAAAAAGAATCCCAGTTCGCGCAATACTTGATAACGGCAGCATGAGTTGTTTCCTGTGTGAAGGAGTTGCTAATTTGTTAAATTTAAAGAAAGAAAGAATTTATGCATCTGTATCCGGAATTAATGAGAACGTTATAAATATTAATTATCAACTAGATGTACAGATTTCGAATAAGGATTTAACATATGTAAGATCAGTTAATTGCTTAGGTTATTTCTAAAATAACCAATGTAACTCCATCAAGGTGTTTAGATGTGCAGTCATTAAATATTCCCATTGATATTGAATTAGCGGATCCGCAATTTGGAACACCTAACAAAATAGATATGTTACTAGGGGCCGAATTGTTCTTTGAGATTTTAAAACAAGGAAAATTTCAATTAGAAAATCAACAACGTTGATATTTCAAGAAACAGTTTTTGGATATATCGCGTCTGGTGCATGCAAGAGGTGACTCAGAAGTAAATTATTGTGGTTTAGTTCTAAATAGTGAAGAAAGAGTTGAAGAAATTTTGCAAAGATTTTGGGAAGTTGAATCCATTGAAAATATCGAGGATGCTTTGAGTGAAGAAGAAAAATACTGTGAAGAACATTTCAAGCGTACTCACTATAGACAAAATGATGGAAGATACGTAGTTCAGTTACCCATAAGGGAAGGTGTAGAATTAGGAGAATCGAAAACGCTGGCTGAGAAAAGATTGCATCAAGTGTGGAATCGACTAGAAAGTGATTCGAATATGAAAACATTATATAAGAATTTTATTAAAGAATATAAGGATCTAAATCACATGGAAGAAGTTCAAGAAATTGAAACATCGACTTGCAATTATCTTAGTCATCATGGAGTTTATCGGCCAGAGAAAGCCTCTACCAAGCTTCGCGTTGTGTTTAATGCATCCGCGGCTACTAGCAATGGAAAGTCACTGAACTCAATATTAATGAAAGGGCGAATACCTCAAGAAGATTTATTTTCTATTATTATTAGATTTCGAAAGTACAACTATGCATTAGGAGCTGATGTTCAGAAGATGTACAGACAAATACTTATTGAACCATCTCAACGAAACCTGCAGTTGATCTTGTGGAAGGAATCAGTTGGTAGTCCTGTGCAGACTTACCGTCTAAGGACTGTAACATACGGAACAGCAAGTGCACCATTCCTTGCAACAAGGGTCCTGAAGCAGTTAGCAATGGATGAAGCGACAGACTTTCCTCATGCCTCAAGAGCCATACTGAAGGACTGTTACGTGGACGACATTATTACTGGAGCTAATACCATGCAAGAAGCCAAGGAGTTGCAGACACAGTTAACCTGTCTTCTAGAACGTGGTGGAATGCAGTTACACAAATGGTGTTCAAACAATCCAGAATTATTGAAGAATAAAGAAAGTGCTACTCAGGATTACTCCTTTCAAGTTACGGATAAGCCTCAGATTACAAAGGCCTTAGGAATGTCATGGAATACGTCTACAGACTGTTTTTTTTTCTTACGATCTTAAAGATACCTTGACTTTGAAGAAACAGGCACGAAAAGAGATGTCTTATCAACGATAGGTCGCCTCTTTGATCCGTTAGGTTTAATTGGACCTGTTACGACAAAAGCTAAAATATTTCTACAAAAACTTTGGCTTCTAAAATTAAATTGGAATACACCTCTTCCTAAAAATTACTCTGAATCTGAAGAATGGAAGGCATTTCTGCATAGTCTCAAAATAGTCAACGATTATCGCATCCCTAGATTTGTTCTAACCAATGGATTACAACAAATAGAAATTATAGGATTCTGTGATGCTAGTCAGAAAGCCTATGGTGCTGCAATT